AAAAAAAAAAAAAAAAAGTTACTTAATCCCTCTGTTCCTCAATTTATCTTCATAAAGAAATGCACATAGTAATGAGTACCTGTCTCATGGGCTTGTTGTGAAAATTAAATCTGTGTGTATATATATGAGTTTAGAGATAGTCTTGTATGTAGTAAGCACCTGAAAAATGTCAGCTACTATTGTTATTCCTGAAAATAACATGAATCAAATCATATAGTCCCTATACAGTGAGAGGATATTATAAGAAATCATACCGCCAGGCACGGTGGCGTGTGCCTGTAGTCCCAGCTACTTGGGAGGCTGAGGTGGGAGGATCGCTTGAGCCCAGGAGTTCTGGGCTGCAGTGGGCTATGCTGATCGGGTGTCTGCACTAAGTTCAGCATCAATATGGTGACCTCTTGGGAGTGGGGGACCACCAGGTTGCCTAAAGAGGGGTGAACCAGCCCAGGTCAGAAACAGAGCAGGTCAAAACTCCCGTGCTGATCAGTAGTGGGATCGCGCTTGTGAATAGCCACTGCACTCCAGCCTGGGCAACATAGCGAGACCCTGTCTCTAAAAAATCATACCAAAAAATGTTGACTTTGGGGAAAATACAGTTTTCCATAAAGAAGATAATTAAGCCTTAGTTTTTTTGTTTTACAACTCACAATTTCCACTTAAGACTACTAACACGTGGGCACATGTACATCAATCTCTTCCCATGTTGGAACTTGGAATTCCTACAGGGGCACGTGTGGGTGGGGTGGAGGAGCAGCATCTTTCCTTTGGCCATCTCCGCCTAATGCCGCAGCAGCTTTCCTCTTTCCCCAAGATCTTCTGGGCTGTGAGCTCAAGGGTTTAGGGAGAAGGCCACGGAGGCAGCTTCCCTTTTTAGACAGGCAGTAGCTAGGAGTGGATGCTACAGGCTTCAGCCGAATGGCTTGGAGAATACAGCAGTGCCCTCTGCTGTGAAGTATGCATGCAGCACTCTGGGGCAAGAGCATGTGCAAACCTTGCCAAATAAAAAAATAAAAAAACCAGTCCAGCCACTTACGCACGTGCATGGGCTGCCCTATGGCTACAACTACCCTTCCCTCCCACTCACTTTAAAAAACACTCTCTGTTCCAAAACCTGGGAAGATAGTACATTTGTCTTTATTTTATCTCAACCTAGGCTGTAGAGGGCTTTGTCCTTTTCAGTCCTGGGCTATCAGTACTACTAGGTTAATACCAGAGAATGACAATGTTCGGTCCATTCCACTGCCACCCAAGACCAAGTAGGGCCACACCTCACTGCAGATAAAAGCCTATTCACACTAAAAAGCGCCAAGAAAGGAAATCCTGGGATACTGCTGAAGAATACAGTTTAAAAATCTTCCTGAAGTCTAATAGATCTTGCTTTATTTTATTCCTATCTTCACACATCACAAATCTCTACTTCCAACCATTCTAAATCCTAACTTGCCTTTGTGAGATGTGAAATGGAGTGGAGAAAAGACTTAAAAGTCAAAATTCCCCTGAAGCGATATATTTGGAACTTTTTTTTTTTGAGATGGAGTCTCACTCTGCTGCCCAGGCTGGAGTGCAGTGGCATGATCTTGCTCACTGCAACCTCTGCCTCCCAAGATCAAGGGATTCTCCTGCCTCGGTCTCCCAAATAGCTGGGATTACAGGCGCCTACCACCAGGCCCAACTATTTTTTGTGTATTTAGTAGAGATGGGGTTTTGCCATGTTCACCAGGGTGGTCTCAAACTCCTGACAGCCTCATCCTCCCAAAGTGTTGGGATAATAGGCGTGAGCCACTGCTGATAGGGTACCTTTGAGCCCAACTGAGATTTGTCATCTGCCTTAGAGAAAGCCTAGATACCACATGCTGCTGAGTCTGTGGGGCACTTTTAGTAACTCATACCATGGAATGATCTAGAAAAGGAAAGCCTAGGACATTGCTGAAGAAAACAGTTTGAAAGGCTTACCTTAATTCCAGAACATTGGTTCTTTTTTTTTTCTTTTGAGATGGAATTTACTGTTGCCCAGGCTGGAGTGCAGTGGATTTTTGGCTCACTGCAACCACTGCCTCCCAAGTTCAAGTGATTCTCCTGCTTCTGCCACCCTAGTAGCTGGAATTACAGTTATATGCCACCATGCCTGGTTAATTTTTGCATTTTTTTTTTTAGTAGAGACGGGATTTCACCAGGCTGGTCTCAAACTTCTGACCTCAAGTGATCCACCCACCTTGGCCTCCCAAAGTGCTGGGATAACTAGAGCACTGGTTCTTAAGCCTTAGCATGTATTCAAATCAACTGAAAAGGGAGATTTTTAAAACCCAGATTTCTGAGTCCTAACCTCAGAAGTTCTGATTTAAGAGGACTGAGGTGAGGCCTGAACATCTATATTTCAACCCTAGCGATCAGTGGGGTGACAGATGTTGCAGCCAGATTGCCCATACAACCGAACATCTGTATTTCAAACAAGTTCAGATGATATTGATGGTCCAGGGTCCAAACTTTGAGAATTACTGGTTTTTTGTTTCGTTTTGTTTTGTTTTGAGACAGTCTTGCTCTGTCACCTAGGCTGGAGTGCAATGGTGTGATCTCAGCTCACTGCAACCTTCACCTCCTGAGTTCAAGTGATTCTCCTGCCTCAGCCTCCTGAGTAGCAGGGACTACAGGCACACACCAGCATGCCCAGCTAATGTTTGTATTTTTAGCAGAGATGGGGTCTCACCATGTTGGCCACGCTGGCCTCGAACTCATGACCTCAAGTGATCCACCCGCCGTGGCCTCCCAAAGTGTTGGATTACAGGTATGAGCCACCATGCCCAGCCTAAGAACTACTGGTTTGGAGAAAAGCATGTTGGCCTCAGCCATAAATAAAGATGGTATGTATGGAGGAGTCTAACTTTGTGATCTCCATATACAGCTCTTCTAGGAGCAGGCTAGGCTCACAATCATATCTCTCACTCTGCAGTGTTTATTTTTCCATTTTTAAAAAAGGGAGAGGGGGAAACAATGAAGGAAAATACAAAGAAAGAAGGAAGATAACTTCTGAATAGCCAGAAGCCCAGAGAGAGAAAGAGTTGGCTGGCTTGTGAGAAGACATGAGGAGTTTGGAAGAGGAACGCCAGAGTTCCCTGAACCAACACAAATCTCTATGCAACTCAAGGCTGCCTTATAGAGCCAGCTCCAGAACTCTGTCGCCAGGTTTCAGCAAGCTGAAACCTTATCCATTCCCAGGCCTGGCATTTCAACAGGTTGGCAGCCTGTTCGTTTACAGACATCTTTTAACAATCTTGGGTTTGGCCATCCAGAAGGCCTCTTTCTGCTCAGGGTTTCTGCAGTGTCTTTGGATGACCTGTTAGCAGCCAGTGGCTGGTCTGTTATCATGGGCTCATGTCCTTCACCAGAAGGGCAATTTGCTCTCGCAGCTGCCGCTCCCCTTCCCGCATTTTGCTCTGGCTTCGACACCTCAGCAACTCAGCCTTGTGGTCCTGGTGATGCATAGGGCAGTAGCTCTGTGGTTCACACAACTCCGTATATTCTGGAAAGAAGTCTCTGTAGCCGCCTTTAAGGATATATAGCTCTGGGTAGTACAATGCAGGATACTGGTTCAGAGATCTGTCCTCTTCTCGCAGAGAACGGCACCTTTATAGAGAACCCAGAGATGGGTGGGTGGAAAGAAAAGTGGTCAGGATTCCAGGGGCCATTCACTGGGATCCTGCTAACCCCCATCAGGACCTTCCAATCTCACTGTGCCTGCAAAACAAGGTCCAAGTAGCACCACCCTTCCTCCTTTCCTCTACTGCGGCCTCATTCTCAATCCCTTTTCCTTTATTGCTCCAAACTCTTGAATTTTAGAGTGTCTTCCTTCAACCTCCCTAACATTCTTCAAACTATAGAATCCAGTCAGTCTGTCTGAACTGGTCTGGGAAGTCCAACTCAAAATCCATTTCCATCACCTGCCCTACCCCATTTAGACACTCACATTCGGGGGCCCCTCTCTGAGGAGAATTCACAGTGGAACACGATGATTATTCTCTTCTGGGTGTCCAAAGGGACAATGGGCTTCTTTAGAAAGAAGTTAAATAGTTCTTCCTGACTATACAAGTTTAAGGCTCCCTGTAGAAAAATAATTTTAATAAGCATTTCCTCAAGGGCTTATGGACGGTGCCATTACTTAGAAATGAGTGGGATATGAACCTGGGATATTTGGACCAGAAAAGCTGGACTATAAGCATCCTCAGAGCAGGAGTCTAAGTATATCTCTGTATATACCCTGAATGCCTGGCACAGAGGTTGGTATGTAGTAGATGCTCAATAAATGTTCACAGAACTGAACCACTGGAAGAACAGGGATCACTGCGAGGAATGTTCATGAATAGTGTTTGCAAAGTGCTTCAAGCCTTGGATTAATGTTTTTATGTCTAGGTAGGAGCCCTTGGCTCCTACAGAAAAGAAGGATATTGGTCTAAGAGAGAAAGGGAAAGTAAGCTGCTTAAGGTATACAGAATTAAAACAAGGAGGACCTCAGCCTTGATGTGCTTCAGATATGTAATATTTGTCCCAATTCCAGAGTTCATAGGCCCCTTTGTCCACAGACTCTTCTCAATAAAGAGCTATCTCCAGTCCTCCCCTACTAATGGCCAGAATGTGGTCTCACCTGGATGTGTCCTCCCAGGTACTCATATGGATAGCGACAATCAATGACATAAAACTTCTCAATCAGACCCTGGAACTTCCCCAACAGTAAGGCAGCCACCTGCACAGAAACAATGACTGAATACTCTGCTCACTACCACTCTGAGGGAGAGAAGGGCCAATGACACAGTTCCTTACGAGCATATTCCTGTTAGTCACCTGGGATTCCACTGTATGTCCAGCCTCCAAAGTCATCCCATATTTGACATGTGACAGTGGTTCAGCCCTACCCACAAAAGAGAATGAAACAGGAAGTGGCCCTTTTAGAGATCCAAAATAGCTGGCATTGCCAAGATACCAAGGAAGGAAAGCCATATTCAGGCTACCCATCTAGGGACAGGCATGGCTGGAATCAGCCTCTCAGGAGACGTCCAAGGACTTCTGCGGTGAGAGAGGTAGAAGCTAGAGACTCAAAACTGCAGGAAGAGATGCAAAATGGCTCCCTACCCATCATCATAAAGGAAGAAAGTAAGGCTTTCAGGAAAGGCTATGGAAGGAAAAGGTTTATACCTAGAGGAAGAAACTGAAGCAACTTGTAAAAGTGTAAATTGGTTCAGCTTTTCTGGAGGGAACTTTGTAAATGCATAAACAAATAAATGTAATTATGCTTTGACCCAGCAATTTCTAACATCTTAAGTAAACAGGAAAAGTACAGAAAATGTAGGCACAATGAGATTAATCTCAGCATTGTTTTATGTTATCAAAATATTAGAAATAACTTCAATATTCAATAATAGGGGTTTGGTAAAATAAATTGTACATGCCAGCAGAATAGAGCATTATATAGGCATTAAAATGATGATATAGATATCTTACCATTGATATAGAAAGATATCTATGTCTTACTAAGGAAATTTCAATACGTGATCTTGATCATATTCATCATGATCCCATTTCTGTTTTTCTTTTTCTTTTTTCTTTTTTTATATTTTGAGATGGAGTTTCACTCTTGCTGCCCAGGCTGGAGTGCAGTGGCGCAATGTCGGCTCACCATGACCTCCGCTCCCCAGGTTCAAGTGATTCTCCTGCCTCAGTCTCCTGATTAGCTGGGATTACAGGTGCACACTACCATGCCTGGCTAATTTTTTTGCATTTTTAGTAGACATGGAGTTTTGCCATGTTGGCTAGGGTGGTCTCGAACTCCTGGCCTCAAGTGATCCGCCTGCCTTGGCCTCCCAAAGTGCTGGGATTACAGGCATGAGCCACCACGCATGACCCCCTCCCTTTTTTCTTTTTACAATAATTATGTATTATTTGTTTAACTAAAAATGAAGGAGAAAGAAGAGTGGGGGAAAAAGGAGTCCTTTAATATAGCTTCAGTTGAATAAGGAGCCTATGTGAGTGAACACAGTGAAAGAAATACAAATGGAAATGGGGATTATAGGGACAGAACAGACCAGATGGTAGCTTATGTAACCAGTTACCATCTCCAGAAATCTGCTTACTGTTTCTGGGTTGACATACTTCAGATCTTGGTGTTTCCCTGACACGGTTGGCAGTGCACATACCTAGAAATACACGAGAGCTGAAATAACAGCAAGTATTCCACACCCGATTTTGAGATCAAAGACCCTCATTTTGTCCTTCTTTCCAAAAGACCCTTAAAACCTCAGAGGCCTTCAAAAAAATCAGTGGTCTCTATAAAGCGCATATACATCAAGTCCATTTCTAATCCTAAAGAACTCATCAAGGATGTGTACAAAGTTTTAGATTTCTCTACAAATATGTTCATCTTGGTATAATTCATAAGAAAAAAATTGTAAAACTAAGTATCTTACAAGAAGGGATTTATGAAGAAATTATGAGCAGTCAAAACAATGAAATAATATGGAGCTATTAAAAATGATGAAATGGGCCGGGTGTGGCGTCTCATTCCTGCAATCCCAGTGCTTTGGGAGGCCAAGGAGAGATAATTTCTTGAGGCCAGCAGCTTGAGGCTGAAGTGAGCTATGATCATGCCAATGTACTTAGCCTGGGCAAAAGAGCAAGACTTTGACTCTTAAAAAAGAAAGGATGAAGCATAACTGCTTATTAATATGAAAAAAGAGGCTGGGCGCAGTAGCTCAAATCTGTAATTCCAGCACTTTGGGAGGCCAAGGAGGGTAGATCACAAGGTCAGGGGTTCAAGACCAGCCTGGCCAATATGGTGAAACCCCGTTCCTACTAAAAATACAAAAAATTATTTGGGCATGGTGATGCATGCTTGTAGCACCAGCTGCTTGGCAGGCTGAGGCAGGAGAATCACTTGAACTGGGAGGCAGAGGTTGCAGTGAGCTGAGATCGCACCATTGCACTCCAGCCTGGGTGACAGAGCAAGACTCCATCTCAAAAAAAAAAAGAAAAGAAAAAAGATGCTCAGATGCTCCTGATATAATTATTAAATGAGAGTACAGATAACAAAACAATATAAACTATTTTTGTAGAAAAGCAAAACTGTATTTTTTTTGTATATGTGTTTGTAAAAACACAGAAAAAAATGTGTAAGAATATATACCTTCTGCAATTACACAGGCAATGGGGAAAAAAAAGAATATATACCAAGAAATAATTACCCTGGTTAATAAAGTCTGGGATAAATTTCTTCATTTCTACTTTTTTCTGTAAAACCAAGTATTATTTACATAATTTTAAAATATGTCTTTAAATAGAAAAAAGGTAAAAGTCTCATACTTTCCACTTTATTCTGGATTTTCCCAGAGAATAAGAAATATTTTCTCACTGTAAAGGCTTAGGGCCTGTATCTACCACTAGAGCACTGTCAGGTTATCAAAGAGTACTTGGTGAAGATGTGTAATTACACTGAGCATTCTATGCACACAGAGAAGATTCAGATCCAAAATGACTCACTGAAATACAGGATGGGTGTAACCAAACTCACCTTGGAAAAATCACCAATCAGATGCCCTTGGTTAGAATCTTCCTCCAGCATCTCAATGATATTAATGTCACACAGAGAGACTGTCTTCTTTAAATGTAAGCCCTGAAGATGACAAGATTCCCACCCCCACCCAATCCTCATGTTAAAGGTTTTAAAACCAGTGGATGGAGCGGGGCATGATGGCTCACGCCTGTAATTCTGGCTACTGGGGAGGCTGATGTGGGAGGATCCCTTGAGCCCAGGAGGCCAAGGCTGTAGTCAGCTACGATCATACCATTGCACTCCAGACTGGGTGACAGAGTGAGACTCTGCCTCTAAAATAATAAATAAATAAATAAATAGGTATCCCAGTACTTTGGGAGGCCAAGGCGAGAGGATTGCTTGAACCCAAAAGTTCAAGATCAGCCTGGGAAACATAGTGAAAACCCATCTCCTCAAAAAACACAAAAATTAGCCAGGCGTGGTGGCACATGCCTGTAGTCCCAGCTACTTGGAGGGCTGAGGTGGGAGGATCGCTTGAGCTCGGGAGGTTGAGGCTGCAGTAAGCCGAGATCATGCCACTGCACTCCAGCCTGCGTGACAGAGTGAGACCCCATCTCAGGGGAAAATAAATAAATAAATAAATACATTGATTTCCTAAAATATCCAAAGATATTTAGAATTTTAATTTTTTTCTTTTATTTTTTATTTTTTGAGATGGAGTTTTGCTCTTGTTACCCAGGCTGGAGTGCAATGGCGCGATCTCGGCTCACCGCAACCTCCGCCTCCTGGGTTCAGGCAAT